AATCAACTTGGGATCTGGAGCTGGGAGGACTGCTGTGTAGATTCAATATAAACTAACAAACCGCAACAAGGAGTTCTGCATTTTATTTCCATATTTATCCTCTCTATCTGGGCTCAGTCTGAACCCACTATTTTTTTTTCAGTACCCAAACTTAACACTGCCCAAAAAGGGCTGCGAGTCTTCCCTAGCACCTTGCATTGTTTCCAGCATCTTGCTGCCTTCCTTTTGCCTCCCCGCCTATCTTTGGAAACCTGCCCGACTTGTGTCTCAGCCAATGACACATGTTGCCTTCCCTTCACGGTGAGAGAGATTAGAACCAGCCAGGACAGCCTCAGCACTTACAAATGCAACTGACAGGCTGAGGACAGAAACAAATCTGACTGTTTTGCAACATCAGGTCCACAGAGTTCAAACCAGAGCCGAAGCAAAAGCGACGGCACTGAGAAGAATGACACTGGGACAAACAGATACCATAGTGCAGGAGAGACAGGTGACAACTGGAGAATGGCCGGCTGCTGTCCTTCCACAAGAGCCTTCCATTACAGCCCAGAAGTGCCTTCCAGAGCAAGGTAAGGACTTGGAGATAAGGGGGCGGGGAAGAATCACTATAGTCCCATGGTGCAAAGGCTTTCTGCAGGACAGATCATTCTGCAATAAATAACAAGAAATTATGTGCCCGTTTACTTGATACTTAAACCTAAGTGGTTTAAAGGAATTTCTGAGTTGTTTTGCTAAAATTCTCATTTTTTCAGAATTGTCTGTAATAAACTATGCCTGCTTCTAGTACCTTACTGTTTTCCTGGACATCGTTTAATTCAGCTGGCACATGTTTGCTAATCTATACTTTAAAAACAAGATCAGAATTTGCTTGGATTGCTCTTCTGACTTTACATAAATGAAGAAATCAGTTATGTAAATGAGATTGAATATGCCTAAATTAATACTTGCATGTCTGCACAATTAATCATTATGTATGTATTAATTCTGGTTCAAAAATTTATGTTAAAAGTGCAATTTCTGTTTGTTGTTGCTAGGGAATATAAGTGGATAATTGCTTTCCATTATTTTCTGCAAAAAAGACCTGTCATACAAGCAGTCTTAGCTTGGTGCTTTTATTGGGCTTTCCCTCTTTTATTGATTTTTTTTACATTAAGTAAACAAAATAAATTCTGTCCAAATACTTTATAATTTCATAGACATAGATAGGATGCAGAACACATTCAGACATGATCGCGTATTTGCATTTGATTGTTATGATGGGGGTAACAGTTATACTTTGAAAATTTTTGATACAATACCAGAACCCTCCTTAAGTGGTTCAAACAACTGAATTCCATAGTGAGTATACAGATATAATTTAGACTAAATGCATTTAGTCAGAAGCAGTTTTCACTGAGTTTTGTAGGATGTACTTCAGTTAAAGGTACACAGGGTTATATAGATAGCCTCTCCCCTTTTGCTGTGGTAAGAGGAACAGGACTGCCATGAAAGTGGGGGGGTGGGAATAAAACAACGTGTGTGTTTTTTTAAAAAAAAATGAGATAACACTTTTCCAGGAACCCTGAGGCCTCCATGATGGTTCTATGGTCACTTTCCAACCTGCAAGACATTGAGATTCCTATAGAGAACACAATCAAATCTGTGGTTAATCAAATCCACAAAAGTTAGACTCACAAATGTGGATGACCATGACCAATTGTATAATCAAACCTTTGAATTTATGAGGCACAGCCAGTCCATAATTGTGACTGTTAGATCAATCTATTAAGTATGAACTTCTGCTGATAATCTAACTGATTGTCAACTAGATTGTTATGGCTACATAATGGCACTTTTAACATTCTATTTCCAACCAACTACTAACAAAACAATATCAATCAAATGGATTGGTTGCAATTTTAAAAGTTTTGCTGCTAGAGCCAATTATATCTTTGCTTAAATATTCTCCTCCCTCCTTTTTGTCATGGTAGTGAGAAGATATATGTGATTCCTGGACTTGGGAATTTAGGTAGTAATTTCTTCTCAGTGTTCCCCTTTTTTCTGGACTGAGTCATAACCATGAAAGTACTCATCCCTCATTATATTTATTGCTTCCTTTCTGCAGTTCATTTTCTACTTTTATTGTCTCTCCCACAATTTAATTTGTAAACTCCTTGAGACAGCATCTTGGCTGCGAAAGAGGCATGAGGCACCCGAAATAGTGGTGATGTGAATAAGGTTGCCATGTGAAAAACAGAATTTTGTCTCTGGTACCTTTATTAGTTGAGTCAAAGAGGGGGCTACACCTCCTGAAACTCCTTCTGCAGAACATTAAAGACCTCATCCCATGGGGTGGAGAAAGCGGGTAAAACGACATCTTACCATTGCATTTTGTCGCGTTATGTTTCAAAACAAATTACATAATTTCTCAGAACCCATCACATGGTCTTATTTCTTGGCTTTTCTCCCTAAACCATCAATTCTCTGAGTTATTTCATGAGTGAGTGTAATAACACCTAATTATTTTTAAAAACCTGGAAAATTTCAAATTCACGAAAGTTTGAAATCTCGCGTTACCAGGAGCTGAATCCCTGAAGTCTCGGACCACCTAGAAGACATAGTATATACTATTTATTTATAGTACTTATTGTTTCTGGACTTTCTACAGATCATTACCTCTGGTAAAAGAAAAAATGGAATTAAAGGTAGCAAAACTGCAATTTCGACAGGTAAAAATAAGAAAAAAAGCGAAAGCAAAGTAGAGATCTCCAGAAATTGCACAATTTCTACTTGATCACATTAAATAAAAAATATCATGCAAGAATCATGCAGATAGATTTGGGGAGGTTACTGGAGTATCAGTGCTTGGTAGGACACAACCCATAGAAACACCCATTCCCCCATGTCACCAAAATGGTTCAACATGAACAAATCTGACAGATTGCACCAGACTTGTAAACAAGTGCCTTCTCCTGTTTTCGAGCAAATCATGAACTGAGAAGATGAATTCTTCTCATCTCCAGTGTCTTTCCACATCCCCCTCTTTCTAAACACTTTGAAAAGGTTAAGAGACGAAGCATCACAGATGACAGGCAGAAATCTGTTTGTGTCATTTGATGAGATCCATTGTACATTGTCTCTTAACTGTTTTAGAAGTGTTTAGAAACAGTGTGTATGTGTATGCGTGGGATGACATTCTAACAGTACCAGGAGACCTGTCCCGCTGTGTGTTTGATGAGAAAGATAAGCAGAACTAATAATATGGCCAGTAGTGCTAGTTCCTGAGTATTCTTTATTCGAAGTGGTTAGGATCTGAACTATCCCAATATACATATTGAGATTTATTGGAGATGGGATCCAAACCTAAACACGAAATGTATTGAGGTTTCATATATACCTTAGATACACAAAGCTTGAAGGTTGTTTTAGCTACAGTATCAGGAGCCCCCGGTGGTACAATGGGTTAAGCCTTTGTACTGGCAGGACAGGTCGGAAGTTCAAATCCAGGGAGAGCACGGATGAGCTCCCTCTGTCAGCTCCAGCTCCCCATGTGGGGACATGAAAGAAGCCTCCCATGAAGAATGACAAAACATCAAAACAAACAAACACCCGGGTGCCCTGGGCAATGTCCTTGCAGATGGCTAATTCTCTCACACCAGAAGCAACTTGCAATTTCTCAGGTCCCTCCTGACACAAAAATAAAATTTGCAATATTTTAAAATACTTTTATATGTGAAACATTTGTGTGCATTAAACTATCAAAAAGCAAAGGTGTCCCTATTCCATCTACCCATATGGACAATTTCAGATTTTGAAGTATTTTGGATTTCTGAAAAATAATGATAAGATTTGCCAACTGAATGTGATGTGCTAATTGAACATAGCCCCAGATTTTCTGTTTTCTGCAAGAATACATTTGAGCTAAAGCTTATCAAGTTTTAGGTACAAGAAAGAAATCGAATTGTCTCTGAATATATGCAGATACCAAACAAACTTCAATCAGTAAAGATAAGTTTGAGGAAGAAGGATGTCCAAGCAAATGTAATGAGCTTGAATCCCAGGAGGCTGCATTTTTGAAATGAATGATTTGTTATTGTTTATTGCTCACACTTTATAGTTTTAAGACAAAACAAGATGCCTATGCAGTTCAGTAAGAAATGAAACTTGTTACAGTGCAAGCCATGGCTTTATCTCCAGTGAATACTTACAATGACAAATGAAATAACTGTTCAACAGAAGGTGATTGAAAAGAAAATCAACTTTCAAACTTGATCTAACATACAAAATATTTTAAAATAATGTTTAAAAGGCATTTTAAACAAAACTTAAAGAAGCCGATAAATGGCACCTGCTTTAAACATATGCGTAAGCAAAAGTTTGCACAATGACAGATTTTTCTACCTGGTGTGTCACTGCATAAAACCATGTGTTTGAGAAAGCTGTGAAGATTGTGTATGCCTGTTCTATTCTTTCTTTCTTTCTTTCCTTTTTTTCAATCAGATTTTCTGCATTTTGAAGGGGAGAAAAGGAACTACAAGGACAACAACACAGAACAATGATTAAATGATGATGTTACTTACATGGGCCACATAATTCCATAAATAATGCTTTCTAGAAGCTTTCTAGAAATTTCAGTTATTTGAAAGTGGAAACTTGGTGCTTTAATAGAGAATTCTGAATATAAAATTAAACTGCAATTTCCCAGATTTTATGGGGAAAATGACAAAGTAGAATTAAAGCAGTTTATTTTGTAATGCAGATGTGACTTCCTCTATTCTCCTCCTACTATTCCTACTGTGCTCTGTTTTTGATGGGTCAACATATACAAACTTTGTTGCATGCACAAAATTGTGAAAAAATATTGTGTTTTACATTCTCTTACAGCTATGGTTATATGATGAATGTGACCATAACTGAATTTTGTATTTTGACACAGGTCCCATTTGCAAGATTATTTTATTTTATTTTATTTACAGTATTTATATTCCGCCCTTCTCACCTCAAAGGGGACTCATGGCGGATCACAGAACACACATACAGCAAATATTCAATGTCATTATATACTGACAAGACAGACAACTGTACATATGAGATATATATACCTCATAGATAGAGGTATATATAGGCTTTCCCATCTTATGCATCTTGAAGGCTGTTCTCGGTTCTGGCCATGGGGTGTACTGTTGCTCCACTTTCCCTGACAAAGAGCTTTGTTCGTAAACTGCCTCCTTGATCAAGTCAACAGCATTTTTCTGGCATTTCCTTATGGGTGCCTTAAATATCTGCCCGCTAAAGTAGCACGTATTTATCTACTCACATTGTTGGTTTTGAAACTGCTAAGTAGGTAGAAACTGAGCTAAAGGCCAGGAGCTCACCCTGACCCAGGCTTCAAACTGCAACTGCAAGATTTACTGCAACTGGTGGTTAACTTGCTGTACTAAAGTGTAGACTCATATAATCCAATTCAAAGCAGATAATGTGGATTATTTGCTTTGATAATCGGGATTATATGGCAGTGTAGAAGGGACTTGAGTGCTGAGACTGTTTCTAGCCATTCATTGTTGGAGGCTTGAGCGAACAAGCATTGGTA